CTGGATCAGGACAGCACAGAGTTGCTCTGCAGGAAGGGACTTCTGGGTCATGGGGCCCAAGACAGCCCCGCAGCTCGCTGGGAGATGGCAAGTGCTGTGCATGTTGTCCTTGTGCTCCTGGGGCTGGGTGTCTGGGCAGCTTCGCTATGCATCCGTGGAGGAGTCTGAGCCTGGGACGCTGGTGGGGAATGTTGCTCAGGATCTGGGCTTAAAGGTGACAGATCTGTTGAGCCGCCGCCTGCGGCTGGGCTCGGAAGAGAACGGGCGCTATTTCTCCCTGAGCTTGGTGAGTGGCGCTCTGGCTGTGAATCAGAAGATTGACCGGGAGAGCCTGTGTGGAGCCAGCACCAGCTGCCTGCTGCCAGTGCAGGTGGTGACTGAACACCCCCTGGAGCTGATCCGGGTTGAGGTGGAGATCCTGGATCTCAATGACAACTCTCCGAGCTTTGCCACCCCTGAGCGAGAGATGCGCATCTCAGAGTCGGCTGCACCTGGGGCACGGTTCCCACTGGATAGTGCCCAGGATCCGGACGTGGGCACCAATACCGTGAGCTTTTACACCCTCAGCCCCAGCAGCCACTTCTCCCTGAATGTCAAGACCCTCAAAGATGGGAAGCTGTTCCCAGAGCTGGTGCTAGAGCAGCAGCTGGATCGGGAAGCCCAGGCGAGACATCAGCTGGTGCTCACTGCCGTGGATGGGGGCACCCCGGCCCGCTCAGGGACCAGCCTCATCTCCGTCATCGTGCTGGACATCAATGACAACGCTCCAGCCTTCCAGTCCTCAGTCGTCCGTGTGGCACTCCCAGAGAATGCCCCCGTGGGTATGCTGCTGCTCCGTCTCAATGCCACCGACCCAGATGAGGGCTCCAATGGCCAGCTGGACTATGCTTTCGGAGACCATACATCAGAGGCAGTGCGGAATCTCTTTGGCCTGGACCCTAACAGTGGAGCGATCCATGTGTTGGGTCCTGTAGACTTTGAGGAGTCGAGTTTCTTTGAAATTCATGCAAGAGCCCGTGACCAGGGACAGCCGGCCATGGAAGGCCACTGTGTGATTCAGGTGGATGTGGGGGATGCCAATGACAATGCCCCAGAGGTGCTGCTGGCCTCTTTGGTCAACCCCGTCCCGGAGAGCACCCCAGTGGGCACGGTGGTGGGGTTGTTTAACGTGCGGGACCGAGACTCGGGCAGAAACGGTGAAGTGAGCCTCAGTATCCCTCCGGACCTGCCATTTCAGATTAAGCCTTCTGAGAACCACTACTCCCTGCTAACCAGCAAGCCCTTGGACCGGGAGGCCACAGCCCACTACAGCATCGAGCTGCTGGCCAGCGATGCCGGCTCACCGCCTCTGCACACGCATCTCACCATCAGGCTCAACATTTCAGATGTCAACGACAATGCGCCCCACTTCAGCCAGCAGCTCTATACCGCTTATATCCCAGAAAACCGGCCCCCAGGCTCCCTCCTCTGCACCGTGGCAGCCTCGGATCCAGACACTGGGGATAACGCCCGCCTCACCTACTCAATTGTAGGGGGTCAGATTCAGGGAGCCCCAGCATCCTCCTTTGTGTATGTCAACCCGGAGGATGGACGGGTCTTTGCCCAGAGAACCTTTGACTACGAATTGCTGCAGATGCTACAGATCGTGGTTGGGGTTCGAGACTCAGGCTCTCCCCCACTCTCCGCCAACACATCGCTGCATGTGTTTGTCCTAGACCAGAATGATAACGCCCCGGCTGTGCTGCACCCACGGCCCGGCCGGGAGCTCTCCGCCCCGCAGCGCCTCCCTCGATCTGCCCCACCGGGCTCCTTGGTCACCAAGGTGACAGCTGTGGATGCGGATGCGGGCCACAACGCGTGGCTGTCCTACTCGATGTTGCCGCAGTCCACAGCCCCAGGGCTGTTCCTCGTGTCCGCGCACACGGGCGAGGTGCGCACAGCCCGAGCCTTACTGGAGGACGACGCTAACACGCAGCAGGTGGTGGTGCTGGTGCGGGACAATGGCGACCCTGCCCTCTCCTCCACCGCCACTGTGCTGCTGCTCCTGGTGGATGAGGACCCGGAGGAAATGCCCAAATCCAGCGACTTCCTTACCCACCCTCCCGAGCGCTCAGACCTTACCCTCTACCTCATCGTGGCCCTCGCAGCCACCAGCCTCTTATCCTTAGCCACCTTCACCTTTCTGTCCGCCAAGTGCCTGCGGGGGCAGGCCGACGGGGATGGGGGCGGGGGCCGGTGCTGCCGGCGCCAGGACTCCCCCTCGGGGGAATTCTATAAGCAGTCTAGTCCCAACCTGCAGGTCAGCTCCGACGGCACGCTCAAGTACATGGAGGTGACGCTGCGGCCCACGGACTCACAGAGCCACTGCTACCGCACGTGCTTCTCCCCGGCCTCTGATGGCAGTGACTTCACTTTCCTGAGGCCGCTCAGCGTGCAGCCGCCCTCAGCGCTGGCGCTGGAGCCCGAGGCCTTCCGGTCCGGTGCTAACACGTTGCGGGAGCTGAGCCAGGTGAGGGCTCGGCGCCGCCGGGGGCGACCCCTGCGGGCAGCGTTGAAGCAGCTACGGGCCCCCAGGAGGGCTGGCTGTGCTCCACCAGATTTTCGGGACTATTTAGACTTAGTAGTGCGCGGAGCCAGAAGCATGGCCGAGGCCCGGGTGGGGCTCCAAGCACTGGGAGGCGGTGGGGACTGTGAGCGATGGGAGGTGGGACTGGAAGGCTGAGGGTCCGCTGAGCTGCTGGTGAATTTATGGCCACAGTCGCGGGGCTTGGGTCTGGGGTGGAGTCAGTCTCCCACGCGGAGGCTTTTTCACGTCCTATTTCCGCCACCTGTGACTTCGGTGTTGCCCTCAACCTCAGCTAGCCGCACCTGCGGGCCGGCCCAGGCGCGTGCGCAGACCACGCCACGGGAGCCACGACGCAGGGCCAGCACCTGTGCGCGCATGCCCCTCGCACCCGGGCCTCCACGCACTCAGGCTTTTGCCGTGGCCGGCGTCAGACGTGAGGGCCCCAGGTCGCGACTGCCCCCAGGGGCAGGCCGAGGCTTAGACTTCTTATCATCCGCGACCCGGGCGGGCCTGAGCCTGCTGTGACGCCTGGAGCGCTGGGGCGACTCGGGGCGTCCTGGGCGCGGAACTCAGGGCCAGGAACTCAGTGCTGAGGCCGGAGACCTTTTCAGCCCGGAAGCCTTGGGCAGGCTGGGGCACCGCATGGCCAGGAGGGAGTGAGTAGCTGGGGCCCTTCCTCTCGCAGGGAAGTGGGGGACTGAAGCAAACGGGCTCTTGACTCGGTCGTGACCACAGTGTACCCAGCAATCCAGGGTCAGGGCTTTGGGGGTGACCACAGTGTTTGAGGCTCTGGCAGGTCCTTGCTCCTGTGGCTGATGGAAAGCCACAGCTGTGCTAGATGCCAGGTGCCCTCGTTTGTGGGGAAGGGGTAACAGGCGCACCTTTCCACAACCCTCGAAGATTTCTTCCAGCCTCTCTGGGCCCCTACCGAACCGGGATTCTGTTCTGAAGCGCCTGGCTGCGGGCATTGTACCGGCTGATTGAAGTAGCCTTAGTGTACCAGACCTCATTTGCTTGTCTCACCCCCGCTGTTGGAGAGGGACCTGCATCCTCTTTGCCTAAGTGGAACTGAGTTTCCCAGAGATCAAATAACTTGCTCAAGTTCAGGGTGAGCGGTGGTAGGAGTCGAACCAGGGCCGTCGGAGTCCGGAGAAGGTGCTTTGAATTTTGGCCCTTGGGAAGCTGGAGGTCGGGGGAGAAGATTTTCCTCCGCTGGGCTGGGCTGGGGGTGGGGCTCTTTCTCTTTCAGGATGTTCCTTGGGGCGAAAATTCTGGGCTCCCTTCCCTGAGCAGTCCTCACTGAGCACCCTCGGACCCGCCTTCCTGGTGTTGGTTGAGTTCCACCCGGCTCCCTATCTTGCAGCAAGTTACCACCCCTGCCTGCGTCCTCTGTGTTAGAATACACGGCGGCCAAGGGTGCTAGTGTCCCTGTGCCTTTCACAGGCAGCCTCAATGGTGCTGGCAACCTCTGGTGCCCCTCGGGAGGTTTCTGTGCTCTGCTCCGTTCTCTGTCCTCTGTGAGCCCTAGTGTGAGTCTCTGGCTGGCCGGTCCTTCTCCCCAGTGTAATCTGAGCCGCTCGTACCCTCTGCTCCTGGGAGTGAGGGTGAGAGTTGCCAGCACACCCCAGAATTGGTGAGAAGATGGCTCTGGGGTGCTCTGTGAGACGTGTGTGATGGGACGATTGGGAGCGACTCAGGAGTGGCGGGGCTGGGACGAAGCTACAGAGGGGCCCCCTGGGGACCCTGGAAACCGAGCTGTGGGAGTTTGATCCTGCTGGGCTCGCTCCCAGCCGCGCTCTGCGTCCCAGACAGAGCAGCCTTGTTTCCTCCTCCTCAGTCCCAGGCTTTGTCTGGCAAGGAGTCCCTGGGGGTGAACCGTGTCCCGGGGCTTGGATGCCCTGCAAAGGCCCCGGCTGGCTCGACTCCTAAATTAATAATGTATGTAGCTGTGGGAAGAGCTCCCGGGGAGCCAGGGTGCGGAGGAGGCGTCCCTGGAAGGTGTCCTGGCGCGAGAAGGGTTACTGGGAGCCGCAGCCATCTTGCTGCTGAGGATGCTTTGTCCCCAGCTCCGGAGCCGGCGAGCTCGGCGCAGGCCTGGGAGATCCCCCCTAAAGGCCTCCGCGGGCCCTGGCAGGGGCCCTCGCCACACCCCTTCCCTGCGGTGGGCACGTCCAGTGCCCGGGTTTGGCTCAGAAGCTCGGCGAATGGGGACAGAAGAAGGGACCATTTCTTCACAGGAGTCTGGGCTTGCTCTCTGGGGTCGCAGTAACACTCCGTGCTCTCCCTGACCCCTGGCACTCGGACCTCAGAGACCTGAGGTGCACTCTGTCTTTGGCGACATCTTACCCCAGTGCCTGTCCCTCCCCTCCCCCCGCTCTCATGACACCCGTCTTCGCCTGGGTACTCAGCTCCTGTCCCTCTGTTTTCTCCACAGCAAGCCCCGCCCAACACGGACTGGCGCTTCTCTCAGGCCCAGCGACCCGGCACCAGCGGGTAGGTGACGGCTCCCACCCTGCGGCATTTCTCAGCGATGACGTGGGAGGAGGGGGGAGGGCTCCGCGCCTCCACAGTGGCGCGCTGGGGGCTGGGACAAGGGTCCTGGAAGGAAGAGACGCCTACCCTGACTATTTTGAGCTCATCTGATACACTCACCCGCCCCCCACCCTGTTGGCCCCCACAGCCACTTTTTCCCATCCCCCAAGGGTTTGCTAGCTGGTCTCTGGGTGGAGGAGCGCAGCCCGTACCCACCTGCGGCCCATGTCCCCTCCTCCCAATGCAGCTGGGCTCCCTCCTGCCGCAGGGACAGCCCAGCTGGAGATGGACCGGAGGAGGGCGGGCCTTCTGTCTCAGCCCTGTGTCTCTCAAGTTTGTGTGTCTCTGCTCTGCTTTTTCTTTTTTTTTTTTAAATCCCCACATCCTCCTTAGCTTCTGTCTTAGATCAAGATCTCTGCCTCTCCCTGTCTCATCTCCGTCTCAGGTTCTGTCTCAGGCGCTGCCGGTCAGCCCTCACGGCTTGTGCCTCCTGGCCTTGCGCGGCGCCTGCCAGCGGCAGAGGCACTCAGCATGCGTGCAAGGGACCCGTGTGTTCTTCCTTTTCCCCATCCCTGGCTCCTGGCCCTTGTCCTTGACCTCTTTTCCGTGTCTTCGCCTTCCATCGGGTCCCAGTGTTCTAACGCCCTCCCCGCAGCCTTTGTTCACCTCCATGATTTCTGCTTCCCCTCATGGGTTCTTTTTGTCCTTGTCTTCTGTTATTCCTCCTGTCTGTCTCTCATTTCTTTGTGCTTGTGGGCAAGCGCGTGCACTCCCGTGCACACACACACACACACGATGGGGGGAGGAGAGACCCTACACACACACACACACACACACACACACACACACACGGTGGGGGGAAGAGAGACCCTCCCTCCGCCTGCCCTGCACACACAGAGCCTTTGATCCCTGCTCTGCACTAAGGGCCCTTCCATCCGGGCTGCCCCAGCTGCTCATTTCAATAAGGGAATGAGTTCCTGCTGAGACAGGAACCCCCATGGGGGGTGGGGGAGGGAGGCGGAAGCAGCCCTTCAGTGGGTCTGAGGGGAGTGGGATGGGCCGTGGGCCAGGGCTCCCTGCTAGAAGCCAGCGGTCCCAGGAGCCTGGGGAGGCGGGGGGGGGGGGCTGGGCTGCCTCCCCCACCTCCTCCAGGCTCGGGCTCTGCTGCCCACGTTGGCGGGCTGTGACAGATGCCGGGCTCCCTTGTTGCCCCTCCCAGCAGCAGCTGAGCCCTCCCCTCCAGGCCACCAGGGCTTAGGAGATCCTGATGTGGCGGCAGAGGTTCAGCTCCCAGACGAGCACAGTCCTGTCTCTGGTTGCAGGAATGTGAAACATCCAACCAGGCCCCTCAAGGAAGGCTTGGGTTGTGGCCCCCTCTTCCCTCAGCACTTTCTCTTAGGTTGTCTAATAAGTCAGCCATGTGTTCACACGTGCAGCGAACGTTCACTGAACATCTACTGTGCTAAACACTGGGCCATAAAAGTGAGCAAGGGACGGGATCCCTGAACTCACAGGCCTCCAGGCCAGCAGCGCAGACAACTTATCAAGAAATCACAGGAGGAAAACATGTAATTATAAAACCTAGTAAATTCTGCAAAGAGGGTGATGTGAGTGTGGTGGAGGAGGGGTCAGGGAAGGCTGCCTGGAGGAGATGGCGTTTGCACAGACCGGATTGCTGCCCCTAAGGAGTATGTAGTGTTTTGAGGGAGACTAATATCAACCAGTAATCATAGAAATAAATACAAGGTCACAAGTGCTAGGAAGAGCAGTACCGCTCACATTTAGTACGTGGGACACGTGGCTGTCCTCAGAACCGGAATTGACCAGCTGAAGACGCAAAAGGAAGTGCATTCCAGGTAGAAGGGAAGAGCATATGCAAAGGCCCTGTGGTGGGGCCTGTGAGGATCCTGGAAATGGCAGAGCTTCCATTCTGACGAGTGCATTGGAGTGAGCTTGGGGGGGGGGTTTCCCTTAGTCTACCCCTGCCTCCAGCCCTCCGCAGCTCCTCTACCGTCCCCTGCCTGCCATCTTGTCCACTGCCCGCCACGCTCAGTCTAATAAGGCATACTGGCTGCAGGCAAGGCTAGTGTTAAGTTCTGCAGTAAACCTGATTCTAGTTCAAGCCAGTGCTGGGACACGCTGCCCAGACAAAAGGAAAAATGACTCACATGCTGAGGCCCCTGCCCGCCAAGTGCTCTCCTCCCCGCCGCTGGCCCTGCTCAGGTCATCCTTTTGGCTTCTGGTCCCAACAGCTGTTGTCCCCAGCTCTGAGCCCAGCAAGTCGTTTCTCGCTCTTGGGGCTGTATCGCAGGCACTGCGCCGAAGCTTCGCCAGCCTCTGCACAGAGAAGGGGGTCTCTGTTTGGCTTCCTGTGCCCCAGCCTGTTCCCCTGGGATGGCTCCTCACTGCCACTCCTCAGCCCCGGCCCCTCCATGCTTCCTCTGAGAAGCACTGTCGCTGCTCGCGCTCGCTCGCGGTTCAGGCAGTCGTCCAACGAGCAAACAGCAGCGTCTTTTTCTGCTTATAGAGTAACGCACATTCATTACAGAAACATGAGAAATAAAGATAAACGTGAAAGAAAACCTACCCATGATTTTACAATTTAAGAACTAGCACGAACTTCCTTTAACGATGGAGAGTTCCAACGCATACAAAAGCATAGAGAATGGCATAGTGATCTCACTGTTCAGCTTTTAAAAACAAACATTTATTTATTTATCTGTTTGAAAGGCAGAGAGACAGAGTTCTTCTGTCTGCTGCTTTGCTCCCCCCAAATGTCAGCGGTAGCTGGGGCTGGGCCAGACTAAGCCAGGAGCCAAGGACTCCATCCCCGGCTCCCATGCCGCTGGCAGGGACCCATGGAATGCTGCATTCTCTTGTGCATCACTAGGAAGCCGGATGGGAAGTGGAGCAGGCAGGACTCCAGCTGAGGCGCTCTGATGTGGGATGAGGGTGACCCTAGCAGCAGCTTAACTCTGTGCATCAACACCCACCTCGATGATTCTTTAAGATCCACATTGTATGTGTGATTGAATACCTCTTAGCTCTCTTAAGCCCTTTTAGTGTAAAAATTTATCCTTTTTGTTTTTCTACAGTTTATTCATTGAATCATTAACATTTTAATATATATCTTTGCAAACTTTTTTCTTTATGTAAACAACATCCACAATCTTTTTTTTTTTAATCTGAACCAAATAAGCTGTTCACAAACTAATTCACACTTGGAACATCAAGAAGGTTTATTCCCAGGTAACTGCTGTTTTTTTTTTTTTTAAGATTTATTTATTTGAAATATGGTTAGAGAGGGAGAGAGAGGGAAGGAGGGAGGGGGAGAGAGGGAGAGAGAGGGAGAGATCTTCCATCTGCTGACTCACTCCCCAAATGGCCGCAGAGGCTGGGGTTGGGCCAAGTGGAGGCCAGGCGCCTGGAACTCCATCCAAAGTCTCCCGTGTGAGGGCAGGAGCCCCAGCACCTGAGCCGTCTTCTGCTCCTTTCCCAGGTGCATTGGTAGGGAGCTGGATGAGAAGCGAAGCAGTGGGACTCCGTGCTCTGATAGGGAATGACAGTGTCGTAGACTGTGGCTTACCCAGCTATGCCACTACGCCAGGGCCCATGTATGTATGGTTTTACATGTTAAGTCTTTTTTAGCTTTTATTTAATAAATACAAATTTCAAAGGTACAGCTTTAGGAATATAGCAGTTCAGAGGTTAGGTCTTTTGTTACATTAAAAAAAAAAAAAGTAAATACAAAGCAGAGCCCACATTATCTCCAGTCCCGGATGCTCTATGTCTGATGGAGCCCAAGTGCCTGGTCCCCGCTGCACATGTGGTTTCAGCCTGGCCTCAGCCTACTTCATGCCTGCCTGTCTGTCTGTCTGTCTGTCTCTCTCTCTCTCTCTCTCTCTCTCTCTCATAGCTCACTCTCTTTTAAGATTTATTTATTTATTGGAACGTCAGAGTTATACACAGAGAAGGAGAGAGAGAGAGAGATCTCCCATTGGCTGGTTCACTCCCCAAATGACCACTACGGCCAGAGCTGGGCGAATCCAAAGCCAGGAGCTGGGAGCTTCTTCCAGGTCTCCCACGCAGGTGCAGGGACCCAAAAACGTTGGCCATCTTCTGCTTTCCCAGGCCATAGCAGAGAGCTGGATTGGAAGTGGAGCAGCTGGGACTTGAACCAGTGCCCATATGGGCTGGCGGCACTGCAGGTGGTGACTTTACCTGCTACAGCACAGCTGCACAGCATTGGCCCCTCGCTCTCTTTGAGAGAGATGGAAATAATAAACATTCTAAATAAAAAGAACAGCTCTGTGGCCTCCCAGAGCGCTTAGGATGAGAACAGAAACTTTACTGTCCACTCTGCAGCCCCACCGCTGCCCCAGCTCCTCTGTGACAGCTTCTCTGGTCTCCTCTTGGTCCGCAGAGGCACGGGCAGGCTGCCTGCTCTGCCTGCAAAGGCCTCTCCAGAACACGGCGCCTCATCTAACACGTGGTTTGACCCCTTAACCTTTGATTTGTTCATGTTGAAGATTTATTTTATTTGAAAGGTAGAGTTAGATTATCTGTCTGCTGGTTCACCCCTAAATGGCCGCAAAGGACAGGGCTGGGCCAGACCACAGCCATGAGCGGGGAGCTGCTTCCAGGTCTCCCACATGGGTGCAGGGGCCTAAGCACCTAGGCCATCTTCCGCTGCTTTCCCAGGCACAGTAGCAGGGAGCTGGGTTGGAAGTGGAGCAGCTGGGACTTGAACTGGAGCCCATGTGGGATGCCAGTGTCACAGGCAGTGACTTTACCCACTACACCACAGTGCCGCTCCTCCCCCACAACCTTTTATTTAGAAATGTTTCCCAAAAAATAAGAAGGAAAATAAATGTTTTGAACCTATCAAAAAAGTAGAAATGATAGTGTGATCAACCCCCAAATTCTCTTTACTCTTTGTACTTAGATTCATTAACTGTTACTATTTGGCACATTCATTTCATCTCTACCCAAACACGTTTACACCCACATTGTTTTTTCTGAACCGTTTGAAAGCAAGTTGGGAGCATCCTGACGTTTGGAATACTGCAGTGTGTGCCTCCTAGGAGCAATGGCCTTCTCCCAGATAACCGCGAGGGTGTTAGGAGGCAAACGCAATGACACACGGTCCCCGGCCTGGAGCCGTAAATGTTCCCAGGACATCCTGCCACTTGTTTCTTCATATCCTACACAAACCCAGGGTTCAGCCCGAGAGCACAGTTTAGTCTCAGACACCCCCACCCCGTCTCGCTCGCTTGCGCTCTCTCTCGCTCTCATGTCATAGATATTTTTAAAGCACCTAGGCCGATTGTCTTTTAAAATGCCCCATAATCTGGGCTTCTCATTATTTGCTGATTGTTTACTCATAAGTTCAGGTTAAACAATTTTAGCAGGAGTATTCCAGCAGTGGTACTACAGCCTCCCACTGCATCACATGAGGGGTGATTTCTTTATGTTTGTAAAGATTTTTAAATTTATTTGAAAGGCAGAGTTAGAGAGGAGAGAGAGGGAGAGATCTTCCTTTTGCTGTTTGACTCCCCCACATGGCTGAAGTGGCCAGGGGTAGGCCAGGCTGAGCCAGGAGCCAGAAGCTGCTTCTGGGTCTCCCATACAGGTGCAGGTGTCCAAGGACTTGGGCCATCTTCTGCTGCTTTCCCAGGCCACAAGAGAGAGCTGGATCAGAAGTGGAGCAGCCGGGACTCGACCGGGTGCCCATATGGGATGCTGGTGCTGCAGGCTGTGGCTTTACCTCCTATGCCACAGCGCTGACCCCACAGCCAGTTCTTGAACCAGCACCCACACAGGATGCTAGCACCGCAGGCAGAGGCTTAACGTGCTATGTCAGTCCCAGTTTATTATTTTTTAACATTTACTTTTAGTTAGTTGAAAGGCAGGCAGAATGGGAGAGACAGAAAGAGATCTTCATCTGCTGGCATACTCCCTAAATGGCTGCAATGGTCTGGGACTGAGTCAGGCCAAAGACAGGAGCCAGGAGCTTCATCTGGGTCTCCCACATGGGTGGCAGGAGCCCAGGACTTGGGCCATCTTCCGCTGCTTTCCTAGGCACGTTAGCAGGCAGGTGACCGGATGCAGAGCAGCTGGGACTCTGATGCCGGATGGCAATGTTGGCAAGCGGCGGCCTCACCTGCTCGGCCGCGGCGCGAGCCCTGCGCCACCAGGAGATACTCAGTATTAGCTCGTTCTGCTATCAGTGTCATTAGATTTGTTCACCTCATGAAAGTGGTGCCCTCAGATCTCTGTGACACTTTAAAAAATTTGTGATTAATGAGTAATCTGAATTACTGTAGTTAGTATTTTGGTATTCAGGGAGAAGCCACTAGCAAGGCTCCCTACCTGAGTCTGTTTTCAGCTGGTGTTTACCAAGGGGCGACTTTTGGTGCTTCCTTCTGTTTGTTTAGCTGTCCTTCTGCAAGGCTCCTGGAGGGTTCGTTTTGGTCCCCCAAGGAAGCCTAGACTGACCTCCGGACGCGGGCTGGGCGGTGCTCCCCTTCCACGCTGCGGCAGCCCCGCTCTTTGCCTGCGTGCATTTGTCACGGTGACAATTACACTGTGTCACTGTTTATTATCAGGGCCTCAGTGGGCCCCATGAGTACCAGAGATGGACTGCTTGTCACGTTCACAGATATTACCCTAGTGCCTAGCCCCGTGTCTGCCCACAGCAATTACTCAATAGTTGTTACATGCGTAGAGAATTCCAGCTTTTCCCACTCTTGGGAGGGGAAGCCAGTTTCCTCCCTTCCCCTCCAGCCCCAACTTTCCTATCTGTTCTCTGGGACAAGGCCAAGGTGACGTGCTGCAGCCACGGGCCCTATTTGAATTTTTTTTTTTTTTTTTTTTTTTTTTTGACAGGCAGAGTGGACAGTGAGAGACAGAGACAGAGAGAAAGGTCTTCCTTTGCCATTGGTTCACCCTCCAATGTCTGCCGCGGCCGGCGCGCTGCTGCCGGCGCACCGCGCTGATCTGAAGCCAGGAGCCGGGTGCTTCTCCTGGTCTCCCATGGGGTGTAGGGCCCAAGGACTTGGGCCATCCTCCACTGCACTCCCTGGCCACAGCAGAGAGCTGGCCTAGAAGAGGGGCAACTGGGACAGAATCTGGCGCCCCGACCGGGACTAGAACCCGGTGTGCCAGCGCCACAACCGGAGGATTAGCCTAGTGAGCCGTGGCGCCGGCCAAACCTATTGAATTCTTAAACCAAGCCCAGCTACTTGGGATGGGAACCCCAGAGTGGAAGAAGCCATAGGCCAGGACAGAACCTGCAAACATCATCAGGAAGTGTTGGTGCTCACCCAGTGTGAGCAAACATTCATGCATACTCTGAAAATTGCTTTTGAATTTGTATTTGTTTATTTGCGAGAGAGAAAAAAATCAAGAGTGAACTCTAATCTGTGAGTTCATTCCCTACATGCTTGCAACAGCCAAGGCTGGGCCAGTCTAAAGCCAGAGGCCAGCAACTCAGTCCAGGTCACCCCTGTGGATACGGGAACTCGGGAACAGGAGCCATCACCTGCTGCCTCCCGAGGCGTCACGCAGCAGGAAGCTGGAGTGGAGCTGGGACTTGGGGATGTGGGCATCCTGCACGGTGTGTTAGCATCTGCCTTAAGTGCCCGCTCCTCACGGCGCACTCCTGCTCCTGGAAGGCCTGCCCTGCAGCCTTCCCCTGGCGCCAATCCTCCCCCTCCTCTGCACCGGCCCTACCCACTCACCTAGACAACTATTGCTAGAGGAACTTCTCTGTACTCTCTAATAGACAGACTGCATCAGGGCATTCTCCCCATGCCCTACCCCCTGCAAATTAAAATAATCTAAATCTTCCATAGAAATTGTTACCCTGGGAGGCTGGCTCTGTGGCCTAGTAGGTTAAGCCTCTGCCTGGGGTGCCGGTTCATGTCCCAGGTGTTCCACTTCTGATCCAGCTCCCTAATGCACCTGGGAAAGCAATGGAGGATGCTTGGCCTCTGTAGCCACGTAGGAGACTGGAGGAAGCTCCTGGCTTCAGATCGTCGCCGCTCTGGCCATTGTGGCCATTTGGCCGACCGGAGGATAGAACACGTTTCTGTCTGTCTCTCCCTCTCTGTGGCTGTAACTCTGCCTTTCAAATAAATAAATAAAGTCCAAAAAGAAAAAATTGTCACTTTGGGAAACTCCAGATTAAGTTGTAATTCTTTAGGGTTCTTTGATAGTTGAGTGCTTTTTACAGTTAGGAGTCACTTCACATTTTAAAAGGCAAAGAGCTTCTAAGAGTCGTCAGCAGGTCCGGGTGCTTCGGGAGGAAGCGGGCAGAGGTCAGCGTTGGGGAGGAGCGGGTGCAATAGCGGTCATGGCGCCTGGTGAGCGCCCACAGGGCAGCCCCAGAGGTGGGAGCGCAGCAGAAGCACCTGACCCAGCTTGGGGCTCGGGATCCCTTCTAATAAATATCATTCGTGCGACTAAGGCAAAGGCTGGGGCCGGGGACTCTAAGGCACAGCATCTGCCCAGACTTCTCAGGAAAGAAGGAGGTCCAGGACCAGGGAAGCGCTCCAGGAGGGTTTGCTGATAGAATGTTCTAGAGTCGTGCTGGAGTGCTCCTGTGACAGGAGTGGCAGGCGCTGGTTTGCCGGGTAACAGTTCACTCTGAGGCAGAGGTTAGATTGGCGTTCTAGAATTTTCGTTCTCCCTGCTGCAGGGTCTCTTGGGGTCTCCCCCGTTTTTCCCTGGGGCATCTCTAGATCCCTAGCCCTTTCTGTGGCTCTGGGAGGGGTGTCTCTGCCACAACCCCTCGGGGGTCCTCAAGTGCGTCTGAGACAGTAGGGAGCGGGTTGGGGATCTGGCTCCCCAGGGGTTGGGTCAGCACCTCCTACCTTGCTGAAAGGGGCGGGTGTTGGGCACAGGCTGGGAAGGGGCAGTAGATTTGGGGGCCCAGCTGGGGCTTGAGCTAGGCTGGTGGGGGAGACTCTGCTTACCACCCCACTCTCTCCCCAGCTCCCAAAATGGCGATGAGACCGGCACCTGGCCCAACAACCAGTTTGACACCGAGATGCTGCAAGCGATGATCCTGGCCTCGGCCAGCGGTAAGTAGTGGTGCTGTGCGTGGGACGGATACCGGGGGTCCTGTTGTACATCCCACAGCCACCAGGCCCAGAGACTGGATCTCAGCTGGTCTGAGAGACCCACCTGTGACATAAAATCAGGGTGAGGAGCAGCAGAGGGGAGTCAACTAGGAGAGGGGCATTAAGGAGACGCGGAGGGAGGGGGGCAGGTGGCGCGCTGGAAGGGGACAGCCCTGGCTGGGTCCTTCCCCTGCTGCTGACTGTCCTCGGGACTGGTCGGGCTGCTCAGTCTCCCTCAACCTCTTTCCTTAGCCAAGAAAATGGGGACAGTGTCCCCCAGGGGTTGTTGTGAAGATCAAATGAGATGACATCGTACTGCCCAGAGTACTGAGCCTGGAACACGCAGCCCTCACACAGTGAGAGCCGGCCCCCTCCCTGCAGGGCAGGATTCTCTTGTTCCCAGACCCAGATCCTCACCTGAAAGAGAGATCCAGCCAGTGGCGGTGGTTTCTAAAGAGCTAAAAAGGGTCTGGGCAAGGCCAGCAGGACGATGCTGTCAGTGCCTGTTCCCGGTCACTGGGGCGAGGGGGTTGGTGCTGGAGCAGGTCTCCCGGGTTCTCCTCAGCTTGGTAGAGAAATAAAAAGCCAGGAAACAATTTGCAAAGAGGCAGAAACTTTTATTCAATTGGCAAGTGACAGAGAAAGCGTCTGGTCCCAGAGGCGAGCCGGCGGAGTGCCCGAGCGGGACACTGGCTTTGATGCGGTGTCTCGGGTTTTTAAGGCGTTACTGTCTGTTCATTGGGTTATTCTGCTGGGGGTGCCCCTTGGACAGGGGGTGTCACATATGCATGTTGATTGGGGCTCGTGGAGATAGCAAGGGTCTCCTGGAGACTGTCTCCTCAGGGGCTCAGCCCCCGCCTCTGCCAGCTCTGAGTGTGTGATGTAAGGCCACAAGGTCGCACACGCAGCACAAGAAGCTATTGGTGGGGGAGATGCCAGTTGGTCTGGAGACAGGCTTTGCAGCCACAGCTGACCCCTGCTTGTGAAGGACGTTCTACCTATGTCTGAGGGGCCCACAGACTCCCTGCCCCATTGTCTGGCCTCAGTACCCAAGGGCACAGGCCCAGGAGGCGGGCCACTCGAGTCCTGGTGCCCCCCAACCAGTAGTTGGTTAGATAAGTTATTCAGCCCCTCTGAGCCTTGGCTTCACTTACTATGAAATGGGCACAATATGAGGCAGGCATTGTGACATAGCGGGTAAACTGCCACCTGTAGTGCCGGCATCCCACATGGGTGCTGGTTCCAGTCTTGGCAGCTCCACTTCTGATCCAGCTTTCTGCTATGGTCTGGGTGGACAGTGGAAGATGGCACAAGTCCTTGGGCCCCTGCACTGGCGTGAGAGACCCAGAAGAAGTGCCTGGCTCCTGGCTTTGGATCAGCGAAGCTCCAGCCCTTGCGGCCATCTGGGGAGTAAACTAGTGGATGAAAGACCTCTCTCTCTCTCTCTCTCTCTCTCTCTCTCTCTGCTTCTCTGTAACTCTGCCTTTCAAATAAATTTTTTTTTAAAAAATGGGCACAATATTAAGATCCCTCACTGTGATGTGATAAGGGCCAAATATAAGGTATTCAGCACAGAATTGCCAGTGAGTGAGGGCAAGATACACGGTGGCTGTATTGATTATCTTTTTTAATTAAAGACACTTAATAATCTAAAAGGCAGAGTTACAGAGGGAGAGGCAGAGAGAGAGAAAAAGAGAGAGATATCTTCCATCTGCTGGTTCACTTCCCAAATGGCCACAATGAGCAATGCTGGGCCAGGCAGAAGCCAGGAACCTGGAACTCCATTCAGATCTCCCACATGAGTGCAGGGGCCCAAGGACTTGAGCCACCTATAGTGCTGCTTTCCCAGGTGCATTAGCAGGGAGCTGGATGGGAAGTGGGGCAACTGGGACTCAAACTGGCGCCCACCCATACGGGATGTCTGGGATGTCGGCACTGTATGTGGCGCTTTAACCTGCTGCACCACAGCCTCAGCCCTTGATTATCTTTACTGACCTATGCATGATGCCTGTTAAAAAGGCCTGGAGCAGCAAATCCTGGACTTACAGGGAGGCTGGCAGAGGAGTAAGGCATTGGCCCTGCAAGGTGTATGGAGAGCCCTGGGGCTGTAGCACACACAGAGGGCTGGCGGGTGGAGACCCACATGAAGTCAGTAATCACTGCGATCACCCTGGGCACAGCTAAGCCAATGTTAGGGGCCTGGCTCGGTTGATCCCTGAGCAGCACTGCACGGCAGGTCTGATTTTTACACCGGACAGGGGACGGCACAGAGAAGCTGCTGCCCAGAGGGCCCAGTTTTAAGCTGCAGAGTTGCAGTTCTACCCCATTCTACCCTCAAGTCCATATCCTTTCCTATACAGTGGCCATGTCGGCCTTTTATTTTTTTATTTTTATTTTTATTTTTTGACAGGCAGAGTTAGAGGCAGAGAGAAAGGTCTTCTTTCCGTTGGTTCACCCCCCAAATGGCTGCTACAGCCGGTGCTGCGCCGATCTGAAGCCAGGAGCCAGATGCTTCCTCCTGGTCTCCCATGCGGGTGCAGGGCCCAAGAACTTGGGCCATCCTCCACTGCCTTCCCGAACCACAGCAGAGAGCTGGACAGGAAGAGGAGCAAGTGGGACAGAATCCAGCACCCCGACTGGGACTAGAACCCGGGGTGCTGGCACCTCAGGCAGAGGATTAGCCTAGTGCCTGGCGGCCTTTGATTTTTTTTTTTTTTTAAGATTTACTTTTATTGATTTGAAAGGCAGAGTTATGTAGAGGGAAAGACAGATCTTCCATCCGTTGGTTCACTCCCCGAAATGGCTGTAACAGCCCGGGCTGGGCCAGACTGAACCCGGAGCCAGGAGCTTCTTCCAGGTCTCCCACATGGGTGCAAGAGCCCAAGTATTTGGACCATCTTCCACTGCCTTCCCAGGTGCATTAGTGGGGAGCTGGATCGAAAGTGGAGCAGCTGAGACTTGAACCAGCACCCAAATGGGATGCTGGCATTGCAGGCAGCGCCTTAACCCCACTGTGCCACGATGCCATCCCCCATGTCTGCCTGTAGATGCAGCCTTGGCTTCCTTTGTACAGCTGAGATGGGGGCTGTGTCAGGCCCATGAGGTCATAGCATCTGGCATTGCCAAGGCAACTGCAGGCAGGACCCAGAATTCAATACATCTATAGCAGGCTAATTTTCAGTGTGATCATTTTGCTTGTCGCATGGATACTCTTATAAAAATCCAAATGGCCCTTGGCAGAAAAAAATCTTCCACACCCTGGTAAGCCCTGTTCTGTCGGAGTCTCAGGTGAACAGCAAGCCCCGTTCCAGCAGAAGTGCCCCCTCCAGGCACACTGTCCTAAAACCTGACTCCTCCTCCACCTGCCATTCCAGTGTAGCTGGGCACCTGCATTTTCCTTCTCTAAACTGGCAGCCCTACTGCAGAGGTGAGGTTACAGGAGGCCGGGCCTGTGGCTGCTGAGAGGAGGAGGGAGGAGCTGAGAGGCTGCAGGGGCTGCCCCCTGCCAGACAGAGCAGTCCCAGGGCAGGAAGGCAGAGGCGAGTCCAGGGAGGCAGGTAGCGGGGCAGTGGCCAAGCGAGGCTAACAGGTCGATGGAACTGCTGCAGCCTTGCGCCCGGGAGGCGGAGCGGGGCGGGGCAGGGAGGCAGGCTTGCTAGCCTAAGTCCAGATGTTAAAAACAGAATTGCAATCAGTATTTATAGCCCAAAACTCTGCTCTGCTGTCAGGACTCCGCCCTGCTGGCCCACACAGGGCCTGACCCCAGGCCAAGCCTGGGCCCTGGGGGATGGACCGTGGGGGTAGGGGTGACAGGGTCACGCTTGCTTTCACACCCGCTTCTCAGCCTTGGAAGCAGAGAGGTTCCTGGAGCCTGGCCCGGCCCGTGGGGCTGCGGAAGGGGGCAGGGAAGGTGGAGGGGGAGAGCCACCCTCAAGAGGTTTCTAAATAAACATCCTGGGGGAGGTGTGCTCTCAAGGAGCCTGCGGTTTGCAGCTCAGCCAGCTCCCGCCAGCTGACTTGCCTCCCTGCCTCCCCGGCTGCTCCGCCACAGCCCTCTCAGGCCCAACCAGGTGAGGCATAGCCAAGTCCCCCAGTGGATGCTGGCACCAGGGAGGAGGTGAGCAGCACCCTCACCTGGACAAAGAGACCCTGGGCCCTTCCCAGCCATGGGTCTTCAGGTGGGAAGTGTACAGGCATTGATGGCACACAGGGCCAGAGCTGGCACCCGGCTTCTTCCCCTCACATCTACAGGTGGGGAAACTGAGGCCAGAGGCACGCAGGGCTTTGGCCAAGGCCACACAGCTCCGTGATGGCAGAGCTGGCCAGGCAGAGCCCTCATGGCCATCTGTAGCTCCCACACCCTGCACTTCCGCATCTCCTCTCCCTCCTGGTCTGCCCAGCTTGACTGCAGCCCACGAGAGGTCCAGGGGCTGGCATGGTCACGCTGGCCAACTTGGCGTGCTTCTCAGAGCTGTGGGGTGCACCCAGGATGGGGGGCCCTTGCTGCCTCCCTCCGCCCGGCTTCCAGGCGTTTCTTCCCCGCTCTCTTCTAGGAGCCCCGGTGCGAAAAGAGGCCCTCTCCGTCGCGCTCCCTGGCGCCTCGGAGGTCCCTGCGGCTGTCCCTAAATCACTCTCGAATGCTGGTGCTTTGAAGCCGGATCTGAGCCCCTCCCCCTCCCATTCCTGGGCTGGAGGAAGCCTGGCGGCAGGGGGCGGGGCACAGGGGACCCGCTCCCTCCTGGAGTCGATTAGGGAAAACAGGGAAATGTCAGCGGAATGAATGGGAGGGCGGAGGGAAGGGGGCCGGCCGAGGAGAAGGAAGTGGCCGCTGCTGCCTCCTGCCTGCGCCTGCTTCCCTGCCCCTGGGAGGCCCCCAGCTCAGGGGTTGACCGCGGGCGCTTGACGCAGGGCTGGAAACCTGAGCGCCTCGGGCGCCTCTCCTCCGCTCTCTTCCGTCCTCCCCCTCCTCCGGCGGGCGCTGACAGTATTTCCTGCCTGTCTCTTTCCCAATCCCTGGTTCGTGTCCCAGGATTACTCAGCCTCTCCGGCTGTGGTCACAGTCTCCCAGGGTCTAGGGTGGGGTCTGAGCTAGGCTAGGGGGAAGCTCTCCCGCCAGCGCCAGGCCTGGGGCTTTAACTCTTTCCCTGCCAAAGAGAATTTCAGTGCCTCCAGCAGGGAGCTCTAAGGCCTTGGACGCCGGCTCCGCCCCCCCAGTCCGAAAGAGTGCGGGGTGGAGGTGACCGAAGGTTGGAGGAGGGAGCGCAGCTGCTGACGTTTCGGAGAGTACGCGCTGCACAAAGCGCAGTCCCTTAGCCCTCCCCGAGGCGCCAGCGTTGCACCCTAGCAGGTAAAGCCACGCCTACGACCCTGGTATCTCACTTGGGCACCGGGTTCGAGTCCCGGCGGCTCTACTTCTGATCCAGCTCCCTGCTAATGGCCTGGGAAACGTAGCAGCAGATGGCCCAAGCCCTTGCCCCCCCCCCCCCTTAGGAGTCACACCCGAAGCTCCTGGCTTCGATCTGGCCCAGCCCAGGCTGTTGTTGCCCCTAGGACAGTGAAGATCCCCTCCCTCCCATCCTCCCCCCCCACTCTGATTTTCAAATACATAAATGTCTCTTTAAAAAATAATCCTCCCAGAAGCCCTATGAATTAGGCACTTCTGTGCTTCTCAACCTTTGATGGGCAAACACATCCCCTGCAGAGCGCCTTAGAATGCAGATTCTGAGGCTGCACTTTGAACAGGCTCCCAGGTGTGCCTGAGCTAGGGCCAGGATGAGCACTCTTTTAAAGAAAAAAAAAATTTTTTAAAAAAAAGATGTATTTATTGGCCGGCACCGTGGCTCAACAGGCTAATCCTCCGCCTAGTGGCGCCGGCACACCAGGTTCTAGTCCCGGTCGGGGCGCTGGATTCTGTCCCAGTTGCCCCTCTTCCAGGCTAGCTTTCTGCTATGGCCGGGAATGCAGTGGAGGATGGCCCAAGTGCTTGGGCCCTGCACCCCATGGGAGACCAGGAGAAGCACCTGGCTCCTGCCTTCGGATCAGCGCAGTGCGCCGGCAGCAGCGCGCCAGCCACGGCGGCCATTGGAGGATGAACCAATGGCAAAGGAAGACCTTTCTCTCTCTCTCTCACTGTCCACTCTGCCTGTCAAAAATTTAAAAAAAAATTTTAAAAAAGATGTATTTATTTATTTGAAGGGCAGAGTTACAGATCGGTGGGAAGTAGCCGGCGCCGCGGCTCACTAGGCTAATCCTCCGCCTAGCGGCGCCGGCACACCAGGTTCTAGTCCCGGTCGGGGCGCCGGATTCTGTCCCGGTTGCCCCTCTTCCAGGCCAGCCCTCTGCTGTGGCCAGGGAGTGCAGTGGAGGATGGCCCAGGTGCTTGGGCCCTGCACCCCATGGGAGACCAGGAAAAGCACCTGGCTCCTGGCTCCTGCCATCGGATCAGCGCGGTGCGCCGGCCGCAGCGCGCCGGCCGCGGCGGCCATTGGAGGGTGAACCAACGGCAAAAGGAAGACCTTTCTCTCTGTCTCTCTCACTGTCCACTCTGCCTGTCAAAAAAAAAAAACAAAAAACAAAAAAAAAAAAAAAAAAAAACAGATCGGTGGGAAGAGAGAGAGAGATCTTCCATCTGCTAGTTCACTCCCCAAATAGCCCATCTGAAGGCAGAAGCCAAGAGCTTCTTCCAGGTTTCCCTTTTGTTTGGCCCTAGTACTTGGTCCATCTTCGGCTGCTTTCCCAGGCACATGAGCAGGGAGCTGGATCAGAAGTGGAGCAGCCAGGACACCATCCGGTGCCCCTATGGGATGCGAGTGCCACGGCGCTGGCCCCCAGGCTGAGTACTTACCAGGCCCTGGTTTCTTCTGGATAGCAGGCAGTGGGGCCGGAGGTGCTCTGGGGTGCTCCCTGAGCCCATGCCTGCACTGTACCCGAGATGTTGGCCCTGGACCCCTCATCTTAGCCTCATACACACTGCTCTCCCGTCTCCTCTCCATCCGCTTCACCCTCACAGTGGGGATGAGGTCCAAGCTGGAGGTGGTAGTGGTGCCCATGTCCTCTCGCGTCTGTTTAGATAGACCTAGGGCTGAGCCGCACTCTATAGCGTGCCCCGTCGGGTCTGACCTCAGGCTAGGCTTTTACCGTCTCTCAGCCTTGGCTCCCTCATCTGCAGTGGGGCTGCTGCCACATCCCTTACCGACTACATGTGAAACTTCCAGCTAAGTGCTTGGCTCAGGGTGGGCAGTCGAACACTATTAGAAAATGGAACTCCTGACTCCCTCTTGGCACTGGTTGGAGAGGACAGGAGTGTGGACAGACCTCGGTGGCTGCCCTGGGCTAGTGTGGAAGCCAGGGGCTCCTTGGAGAAGGACTAGGGCAAGGGTTTGGGCGCCAGACAAGGGCAGCCGCCTATGAGCACCTAGCATGCATCACGTACATTCTAGCTACTCCACATACAGCTTCTTATCTGCCTTCAGCCAGACCAGAACAGGCGGATGCTATCACCCCTGTTCTGCAGGTCGGAAGACATAAGGAGCGTAGGCAGACTTGCTCCGGGTCGGAGCCAGCAAGAAAAGAGCCGGAACTCGCAGGGATCCAGCTGAGGGGCTCTCACCCCAGAGCCTTTTCACCTCCACCCTCAACAGGTTGTCAGTGATCCCTGTGCTCCCGTGTTTGGTGTGGTTGGGGCCTGGGGTGCTTCGCAGGCATCACCAAGTCCTTGTGGCACGAGAGGACTCAGGGGGACCCTAAGTTAGCACCCACCATCTGACCTGAACTTGGTCTGTCTGCAGAAGCTGCTGATGGGAGCTCCACCCTGGGAGGAGGCGCCGGCACCATGGGCTTGAGTGCCCGCTACGGACCCCAGTTCACCCTGCAGCACGTGCCTGACTACCGCCAGAACGTCTACATCCCTGGCAGCAACGCCACGCTGACCAACGCGGCTGGCAAGCGCGATGGCAAGGCCCCGGCGGGTGGCAACGGCAACAAGAAGAAGTCGGGCAAGAAGGAGAAGAAGTAATGTGGAGGCCGGGCCGGCAGCCAACGGGGCGGCCTCCCCCACCCCCAGCCAGCCCAGCCTCCCCCTACCTGTAGCCAGGCCTCAGAATTTCAGGGCTCACCCCCAGCATACTGGTTGGGGCCAAGGCCATGCTCCCCTTGGGAAACAGAAACAAGTGCCCAGTCAACAACCCCCCTCTGTGCCCCCAAGGGGTTGAATATGCAAAGGGAGTTCTGCTGGAACCCCCATCCAATCAATCACAGTCCCGTGGGGGTAGTGGGGTTAGTGTAGATACCAAGAACCATTTGCCACACCCAGTTTAGTTACAGCTGAAATCCATCTTCAAATCAATCGGGCCCATCCATCCCCGCCTCCAGCAGTTCCCCTCCTGAATAAGGTCACTGGGGTGTTGAGGTACCAGGTGACCTAAGCGTTGGGAAAGGCATCATGAGCTCACGGCCTCTCCTCCAACTCTGTCTCCCCCAAAGCATGGTTTGGTGCCTCCCGGAGGCTGAGAGCCAGTGCCCAAGTTTTGGGGGACCTGGTCACCATCCCCATGGTACTGACGCATGCTGGATTTAGCGAGGGCATTTTGCTGCCAAGCCTCTTCCCAAAGCCCTGGGGAGCAGTCTTTTGTTCTGTTTTTCACTGTTTGATGTTCCAACTGCATGCTGTGACTTCCTACACCCGCCTCCAACAAGAGACTCCATTGCATGCTCCGAGGCAGTACGGGGTGGGAAGGTAAGGAAGGGGAGTGTGTGTACATGGATGGGGGGATGGACAGAGCTCAACCCGTCGACCAGCCGGGTGTGTAGGAGGCTCTGTATGTCCCCAGGGTACTTCCAAGATCCCCAGATTCCAGCCCTGACCAAGCACCGGGCTGGACCCTCCCCTCCCACAGAAGGCTCAGCCCAGGGAGCCACATTTGGGCTGAGTTAGCAGGACCAAGGGATTTAAACTGGCATTTCAGTCCAAGGAAGCTCTGAGTAGGTTTAGGACCAGGTCCCCAGGAATCACAGGGACCTCTGTGGGTGCTGGGTACTCCACAGGTGCCACTGTGGAAGGGGGCTGTGCAGCCCCAGCCGGGAGGGCCAGCCAGGCCATTCTTGGTCCCTGGGTTGGAGAGACAAGGAGCTAGAACAGGGACCAAGTGGACCGCAAGTCTCAGCCCAGGATGGGGCTGCCCCTCTGGGCTCCTTGACTCCTCAAACCACAGTCTTTCACCTTGCCAGGTGCCATCTCTTCTCTGTCAAGGCCACTGCCCGGGCCCCCAGTTCGCCCCCTAGTGGCCAGAGCCTGGTTAAAGTCCCCCAGTGCCTCCTTGTGCATAGGCCCTCCTCTGCCCACCCCCTTCTGCCCCCCGGGGGTCCCGTGCGAATAGCGGGGCTTCGAGGAGAGACCCCCATCCCCATCCCAGCCCTTACAGTAGAGTAGTGCCCCCTCCCTCCCTGGCTGGTGTAGAATAGCCAATAGTATAGTGCGGTGTGCTTTTGCGTGACGGCGAGCGGGCAGCGGGCAGCGGGCTCCGCGCGGCCGTCTGTCCTTGAACCTGCCCGCGGCGGCCCGTGCTGTGTTTTGTGCTGTGTCCGCGTGCTGCGGCGGCCCCTACCCCATACTGACGCCTTCTATAAGCGCTTCTCTCCGCATAGTCACGTAGCTCCCACGCCCTTCCTGTATCTCACGCAAGTTTTATACTCTAATATTTATATGGCTTTTTTTCTTCGAAAAATAATAAAAAGGTTTCTTCTGAAAGGTTGAACGTTTGTGTAAGAGACGGATGTCGTGGTGGTTTGAGAGGCGCCTGGTGGGAGCAGAGAGGATTCGGGTGGCGCGCGGTGTTGGCCTCGCGTGTCCTTGTTGCGCGTGTAGCCCTGTGTGTGGATTGCGTGTGTGAGCGCGCGCGTGTATGGCCGTTCTCCATGGCTATGCGTGCTTGCAGAGCCGAGCGCCGTCGGCTGTAGCTGCTCGGGTGGATCTGCACTCTGCGGGGGCAGGGAGCCAGAGCGGCGCGTGCGTGGAACGGCGGGCTGTGCGGGGGGCGCCTGCCGCTGTCTCCAGGCAGAAGAGGGCGCGGGCGGGGTGGCGGCGCGGGCAGCGCTGGGCGGGTAGACGACGCCTCCCTGATTCACGCCCCCTTTTCCCGTCGCCGGAGTGGAAGGGGATGCTGCGATGGTCTAGTCTGTACCGTGGGTCTTAGTTCCCCGACCTGGGAGTCGCCTTCCCGCCCGCCTCTCTGCGGCAAAACCAGAGCCATCGCAGGGCCCCTCCTGTCTTGCGCAGGTGGAGGGGGCTGGGAGGGCGAGCAGGAAATGAGATGGCCCGCAGGCCCAGATCGCCCGCCCTCCTCTCTCCCAGCCCCCTCTGGCTGTGCGGGAAAGACGGGGGGGAGGGGCGGAAGAGGAGAAAGCCAGAGTGACCCGGCGCAGTCGCTGGGAGGGTTAGGGAGGGCTCGCCAGCGGGCAGGGCCCGAGGCGGCCGATGCTCTCCGCAGGCGGGGCACGCGTCCTGCCAGCCCGTGTGTTGTCATGGAAACCAAGCCTTCCGAGCAAGCACGGGGCGACTTTCCTCGCGTGGGAGGAAGGGTGGCGTGCGCGGTTGCCGAGACGGCGGCGGCGCTGCGCAGGGGTGGGTGCCCGGCGCCTGGGTTCTATTCCAGGCACAGCGGCCGGCCGGCCGGCCGGGCGCGCGAGCAGCTGCGGTGCGTGCCCTAATTGGTATGTGTGCCTGAGAAGCCCCGAGCCACAATCGCGTGGCCACTGGAGGAGAGCAAGGGCGGAGGCAGGCAGCCCACCCCCACACCTCCGGCCACAATGGGGAGGCAGCTGCCCAGGTCCCAGGGCTATTTCAGGCGCTTTTATTTTTGGTTGCAGGGCCTGCCCGTCTGTGCCAGGCCTGCTGGTGGCTCCAAGGTTTCTTTGTGCGAGCCACGACGTGCTCCGGCAAGCCTGGCTGCGGGTGGCAGGTCGTGTGGAGTATGATCTAGCATCTGACCTCCGGTGGGCACACTAAGGCTTCCATCGCGGGGGAAGCCCCCGAGGGTGTCCTGGGGCCACCGACAGGGCTGTGGTTGTTGGCTTCCAACTGGTTACCTAGCGTTTGTGGGGCCGGGGGAGCCTCAAAGGCCTGAGCGGAGCGCTGGCGGGAGCCGGCCGGCAGTGCCCAGAGTGCAGCGGAGAGGTGGTTTGGAAAGGCCTGGCTGAGGACGCCTGCTAAGCCTGGACACAACGCCGTGGCGACCTGGCCGTGCGGGGTCTTCGTCCACACGCCGTGGGGTTGGCTGGGCGTACATGGTGGACATGTTTGTCGGCAGCTGAGGATTGCCGGCTGCTTACAGTGAGAACGGGAGCAAGATGGGGAAATTCACCGCCTGGGCCGCGAAGGCCTTGGTTTAGGACAGGAAAGAGAGACTATTTGGTAAAGACACCGCTAAAAGCAACCTTGGGCCTTAATGGGCAAAACAATGGGAGAAAGACCTCCCCCTCCCCCAGGTCATTTCGGAGATCTTGGAGGCTGCCAGGCCTGACCCAGCAATCCAGAGGGGCGCAATCCTTTCAGGAAAGGGCCCCTGGGTCACGCTGCTCACCCAGGGCCAGCGCCTACTGTGGCTTGCTGTTGAGGTGCTCCCCAGCCCCTACAGCCTCCGTTCAGCGCGCCCAGGTGTGGCTTATGCAGGCTGCAGAGCTCACCATCTGCCTCCACCTGCCGCTAGTTTTAGCTGGTGTTATCACGGCGGCTTCCATGGAGATTGCAAGTCAAAGCCTGGGAGGCCAGGCAGAGCTGTTTGCAGAGCTGGAGCCCCTAATGGGTGATGCCGAGTGAATTCCCCAGGAAGGTAAATGGGCCAGCAAAGTGGAATGCGAACCTGGGAGAGCCGCAACATCTGTGTGCAGCCTCCCAACAGCCCTGTGAGTGGGGACAGCTGTGGAGGCATAGAAGCCTGCACCTGTATCTCACAGGATGTCTGGACACCTTGGGAAGGGGTGCAGGCAGAGACCCGTAGCAGGGGCACCACCTGCACAGTGCCAAGCGTAAATACGTGGTCTGAGCCACTGCGGACCCCTGACCAGGGCAACACCTGGTGCAGGTGCCGAGAGGAGACTGCAGCCTGTGAGAAATGGGGCAAGGGCCGTGAGCACCAGGGCAGCAGGGGAGGGAGGCGCTCCCTGCCCAGGCTGTTGGGTGCCCAGCTGTGGCACAGTGTGCTTCCAGTGCTGGATGTGGGACTTGAGGATTGATGCCTGCTTTGCAGGCTTTTGGTCTTGGTCTTGTCCAGTTTTTTTTTTTACCGTCACCCCCTTTTGGAATGGAAACATATGCCTTCCGCCTGTCATGCCACTATATCTTGGGAGTATGTAACTTTGCTTTTGTGTAGACTGGGGTTTGCCTTGAGTCTGACAGGACCTGTACCAAGTTGACACTCTGGACCAGTTCGTTGGTGATGGAGACTGTGTTACTTGTGACAAAGGCCATGTGTTTGGGGGCTGGGGCTGGAACACCATGGTTTGAATAGGATTTAGCTGCTGACCTCAGATACATGTTTAAACCCCCAAATCCTAAGTTACTGGTACTGAGGGTAGGTACTTAGTCTGATGATGTTGGGGTGCCTTGCGGGAAGTCAAGTCAGTGGAGGTGTGCTAGCTGAAGGTAGTTCTCGGGAGAGGGCTGCTTCTAAGGGCTCAGTTGGATGTGGCTGCTGTGTCCTGGCTCGCTGTTACTGTTCGTCAGCACAAGTCGGCTAGTGCATCCTGTCGCCTCACCAGATGTCTACTCAGTCTTGGAATGTCCATCTTTCGGACCATAATGTGAAATAAGCTTTCCTCCCAAGTAGCCTGTGTTAGGTGTTCTGTTATAGCAATCAAAAACTAACACAGGTGGGGATGGGAACATGGGAGATGGTTCTGTCAACAAAAGACACACAGGTCGCAACAGGAGATGGCGACATCGCAGGGTATGGGCGGCCGGGGCGTTCAGGACAAGGGCTCCCGGGGGGGCACTGTGGCTAAGTGGGTAAGGTTGCTACTTGCAGCCCCAGCATCGCACATGGGCGCCGGTTCAATTCTGAGTCAACTCCCTGCTAATCAGCCCGGGGAAAGCAGCTGGGGATGACCCTGGTGCTGGGGCCCCTGCACCGACATGAGCGGGTGATACTCTTGGCTCAGTTGGCCCAAACCTGGCCATTGAAGCCATATGGAAAGTGAACCAGTGGAAACTCTTACTCTGCCTTTCAAACAAATGAATAAATCTTTAAAGGGGAGGGGCCTCCAAGTGAAAAGGAAGCAGCGTGGAGAAGAACTGAGCACCGACTCTCCTGTCGGGGCAAGTGGCCAAGGGCAGCTCTGGCAGGGCAGCAGCTCCATCTTGCTCATCCCCAGGTCAGCCAGGTGTCAAGGCAGGAAAAAAGAGAGGCACTGGACCAGAGTGAAAGCTCAGAAGTTCACCAAGGAGACGAAGGTCGTGCTGTTCCAATGCTTTATTAACAGTTGGAAACCCAACAAACTGGCGGTGATGACATCCCAGAAGCCCCAGCGGTGAGGGAAGTAGGTTTGCGTTTGGTTTCCCCTCTTTTTTTTTTTTTTTATTAAATCAATCTTAGCAAAAGTTGATTAAAAAAGGAAGGGTCAACGCCCCAGATGGGAGCTAGCAGGGAAAAGAGGGTGACCCAGGGGAGCAGTAGGCCCCCTGCACCACAGTCTGGCAGAGAAAAGCTCGGAGGAGCTGCCACTGCCCCTTCCTCCACAGGCTCTGGCAGCCAGCCAGGCCCCTCCAGTTTCCTGAGCTCGCCTTGGCTCCAACAACTTGAACTCTGGGCTGAACCTTAACAGTACCGTTCTCCCCCGTATCGCGGGCTGGGAAGCTAAAGGGGCACAGGTGTCACCTGAGCCGGCACAGGTGAGCTTCCTGAAGCTGGGCCACCAAGCAGTTCAGTGTGTCTACTACTGAGAAGGGAGCACGGGGGTGCCATGTGCAGGGGCACCCCCTCTGCCCAGTGGCTTGATAAATTGATGAAATTTGTCAAACATGGCCGTCTCCTAGCGCCTGCTGCGCTTAGGCTTGGCCCAGTTTATCCAGATGAGAGGCTCCTCTGCCCCAGAACTCATGTTGGGAGGAGGAATCTGCCTCGGCCTCAGGGTTGAGAGGTGAATGCCGAGGCCAACACTGAGGTCAAGATGAGGCTTGTGGGGAGAAACCCCAGAAGTCCGGAACCCGCCATCAAAGCCTCTTACAGAGGGCAAAGGGGAAAGGAAGAGTTGTTGTTCTTAAAAAAACACCTTTTTTTTCCATACAAAAATAGATCCATTTGCAAAACAATTTCTTAGCCAGGAGGCTCCACCTCCCGCTTCCTTGGAGACAGAAGGGTGGGTTAGGTGTTGGGATGGTCACACTGCAGCCCATACTCCACATGGGATGCAGCAAGCTCTGGGGAGGTGAGAGGGGAGCCTTGGCTCAGCAGCCTGGAGGCTGGTGCAAAGCGCCTGGACAGGTGACGGCACACAGCAGGGCAGAGGGCAGAAGGCCGGGGTAGGCCCTGCCTGCCAACCTGCCCACAGCCAGAGGCCAGGGCCACCATGGGAACAGATCCTTTGTGTTGTGGGGGGCCTTTCCCAGGTGGGTAAGGGTGGGATGCGTCCCCCACTTCCCAGCGCCATACCACGAGTAATAAATAACCAAAGCCAGGAGAGGGAAGAGCAGAGCAGAGCAGACAGCAGTGAAAGCAGCGATCGAGCCAAAGGTTCATAAGCCCCATGCTGTTC